CTCTGGGGCCTGACCAGAAGCCGGTGGCCGCTCTGGGGCCTGACCAGAAGCCGGTGGCCGCTCTGGGGCCTGACCAGAAGCCAGTGTTCCCCCCTGGGGCTGAGAAGAAGTTGACAGATTTGATGTCCGAGATGAAGCCAGGAATCCCATTAGTACCCGAGAAGTTGGTAACAACCATGAAGCCTGAGCAGTCCGTGTCCGAAATGAAACAAGAGATGCCACAGCGGGAGGCGTGGGGAGCCATCAAGGAGGACACAAACGTGGAGGCCAGGGTCAATCAGGTGAGCCCTTCCACAGCCCTCAGAGGGACACAGAGACAGCGGGGCTCCGGGCCTCAGTGCAGCCTGGTCCCACCACTGTGATCTCCCTTACAGGCCATGAATCTGCTCCAGGATGTCATACAAGAAGTTCAGGTCCTGAAGGAGAACATAAAGGCTCAGGAGATGAAGCCTGAGGTGAGGATGCTGGGGTCCTCCCATGGCCATGCACCCCCTCTTTCCATGCGGTTCACCCACCATTATCACCACATCCAAGATAGCTACTGACCTTGAGTCAGAAAGTTCTAGAAGCAGATTCTCTTTTCTAAAGAGTGCTGACCCTTTAACCACAAGCTATAACAACTCTGTGTGTGCCAGGCATTTTGCTGAGGTCTGACGTCTGTTACCCAAATCAATATTCACACACACACACACACAGCTAGTTCTACTCAAAGAAACAGACCAAGACTTGGCCCCCCTCCTCGTGATGTGATAAGGCTGTCATTCAAATCCATGCCGTAAAATCCCAAGCCCACCCTCTCACAGGACCTGCTCCCAGCCACTCAGTCCAGAGGCACTGTAGTCCGTTTGGTGGGGTAGAGACTTCAATTTGCTGGTTCCTCAACTGGTGGTGTGATCTCGGGCACGTAATCTCACAGCTCTCATGCTCACTCTCACCCCTGCAAAATCACATCCGTTTCCAAGGACGTCTCAATTGTAAAGGGTGTGATGTGGAGAGCACATTTGACACAGGGCGTTCCGGGGAGCACATTGTCAGAGAAGGTCTGGCAGTTACACTATTTAACCAGATCCAATGTATCAGCCATTCAGGGGAGGGACAGGGGCCAGTCTCCTCCTGTGAAGAAAGTAAAAGTTCATCCCTAACATGAATTCACCTGTTCATCTTTCACCCATAACTTTGACCGTGCTCTCCAAGTTAGAAAAGGCACTCTGGTGGCCTAGTCGGTAAGGAGTTGCACTACCAAGCGCCTAAGAAGGCAATTCAAATCCACTAGCTGCTTCTTGGAAGGAAGTTGAGTAGTCCGCTCCCATAAAGATTTCTAATTCAAAGGAGGTGACGTCACCAGGAGTCAGAATTACCTCCACAGCACCGTTGATAGTCTTGTAGGGCCTATTTCTGTCAGTCTGTCCCACAGACACTGTCGGTGGAAGACAGTGACCCCCAAGGCCTGATACCTTGAATCTTGCTCTTTTTTATTTTGTGCAAAAGTATTTACAGTTTTCTGATAAGGCAGTTGGACAACTGCATCTCCTAAAGTGAAGAATGAAAGAAAATGCAAGGAGCCGAGAACCTGACACCAGCCCCCTGAGGTCATGGGCAGCCACAGCACGGGGACACGGCCACTGGGTTTCTTGTTGTGTTGGAGAAAGGACAAGTGGATTACAGAAACATCGGCGGAAGAAGGACCGAAAGTAACCATGCTCTCCTCTCAGGAGGTGATAAAAACGGTCCTCTTCCAAGATCACAAGGCTGGGCTGAGAGGATTGGAAGCTGAGGGATTAGGAAGAAAGGCCTGTGCACGGGGAGTGGGGAGTGACCCCCCGGCCTCCAGCCGACCAGGACCCAAGGTTGTTCTTGGGGTTGCAGATTCTAAAGGGTGATACTGGGTTTTTTTACCTTTAGATTCTTGGGTTTGCACAAGTCCAAAGGATCAACTTGGTGGTTTGTATCAATTTGCTTTGGTCTTTGAGGTTTTTTTCCTGTTGTGAAAAGATACCTAATAGGACAGACAACAGCTTGACAATCTCCGCCTGGGCCATTGAGCCTCGAGTGCCTTTGTACCTCCAGCCACCTTCAGGCCCTTGGATTGCTGTCCTCTCTCCACAGTGCCCCTTGCAGGCACTGTGGGGACACCCTGTACCCTTGCTCCTTGACTGAGATGCCAGAGGGTTTCATCAGTGGGGAGGACAAGAAGCAGCCCACGACCAAAAGTCTACATGCGTCAGCACTGACTGCCCACGTGACCTCCGAGAACCACCCTGCCCCTTCCCGCTGCCTTTGCCTCCCTCTGCGCACTTTCCTAAACTCCACTGTCCTGCCAGCCGTAGACCACCTGTCTACCCCTCTTCCACACTGGGGCCACAAGCACATACGTGTGCCCCCTCATATGTGGTGGGTGAGTGTGAGTGTGTGAACAAGTCTTAGCAGGAATGAAGGGGTGTACGTGCACCTGCGTATGTAGCTACATGTTCGTTGCAAGTGAGGTGTTGGCTTAAAGTTGTTTTTAGCTATTTCCCTTAGGCCCCCCACTGGTCTTCAGCTACTTTAACTGTAGACATGTGGCCTTACAAATCATTCACAGCTGTGGGACTAGGATAATAGAGTGCTTCCCACACTGGGAAGCAAGACTTGAGGGAGACTGGAACGAGACCTTGTTGGCGAGACCCTGGTGACGGTGGCGGAGAGACTCCGGCAAGGTGTAAGCTAAGGTTTCTGGCATTTGCGCTGGCCACAGTTAAAGATTTTGTTTGCCACAAGCTTGAAAGAGAAGCTGACTCCTAACTACTCTGCGTGGGCACACATGCGTGCTGGATAATTGAGGAAACCACAGGCGTTGCTGAACTGAAATCAGGACTTATTAATTAAGGAATTGTGTTTTGCTATTTTAATCTAGCTTGGGACTGCTGGACTAAACCGGAACTTACATTGTGAGATATTTTCTTCTCCCACTCCCCAACCTTTTTCTCTAATAAACTCCACTCTTGGTCCCACAGCTGTAAGTAATGCCAGTGAGACAATGAGTAAACGACCTCTTGCTGTTGATGTGGCTCCAGAGGTCCCCTGGGGCTGGGCTGCAGGCTGTGTCTGCCTTCTGCTCTGGGGCAGTGAGGGGCTGTGCTATTCTCACTCCCTCCGGCCCTGTCAGAGACAGGCCCCTGCGTCCTGTGTCCCGTTTTCGGCTCTTTGTGCAGTGTGTGTAAACGTATATGAGGCTGTATGTTTGCTGGACATGTTTGTACATATATGTAAATGTGTGTGAGACTTGGCATGTTCTGTGTGCGTGTGAAAACGTGTGAGGCTGTGTGTGTACTGTATGTATGAGTGCGTGTTTGTGTGTGTGCACATGTGGCAATATGTGTGTTCGAGGGTGTGTGGGCTCACTCGAGCTGCCGTGATTGTCCACCTGTGTCCTCTCCTTCCAGATGGCCCTGGAAAAGCGAATTGAGAACCTGGAGAAGCACATCAAGGATCGTTCCCAAGTCCTGGTAAGGGCTCCCCCTTCGGTGAAGAGAGCCTCTCTCAGGAGCACCCTCAGACCCGCACCCTGGGCGTGTGTCACCTCCGGGCAGGGTGGGGGGCTTTCTGCCTCTTGGAGGCAACCCCGGCTGAGGGACAGTGCTCCTCAGGCATCCCCGGAGCTCCACCATGAGCCCACGAGGCTGAGAACAGGCTGTCGGCACTTACTGGCCTGAGGAAGGGGCCCCTTTCTAGGGTGGGAGCTGTGGGAGGCCCCACCCAATCCCGGAGCCCCACTCTTCATGAAGCTTCCTGGGATCAAACTACATTAATGCGGGTGTATGTGTGTGTGTGTGTGTGTGTGTGTGTGCTTGCCAGGACCAAGTGGGCCAGAGCATGAGCATGATCCCTGTGGGAGAAGACGCCACCATGGTCACTTGGGAAGAGCTGGAGCAGGCCATCACGGACGGCTGGAAGGGTTCCCAGGTGGTAAGCAAGGGTTCCTCATGAGAGGAGACCCCACAAAACCTCCCCCTCCTCGCGAAGACGTGCCCACTGCTGCCGAGTCAAGTCTTAACAAAAGAGAACCTGCCCCCCAGCGTTTGTTGGCTGCAATCTTTACGGAAGCGAGCTGCCACATTTTACTCTAAGGGAGCAGCTGGAGGATTCAAACTTTCAACCTTCTGGTTGGCGGACAAGTGCTTTACCACTGTACCACCAGGGCTCCTCCTTAACAGCCTTGTAGCCTGTAGAGGGGTTTTTGAGAATTCGTTTCTTATCTTATGGACAGTATTTGTAGTGTTTTCCTCAAGGCTTGCACCAGCCAGGGCTCTCACACAACACTGACACACGTGCTCATACATGTTCCCAGGGAAGGAGTGGGCAGTCGCAAACCTGTAGCACTTGCCAGACTGCCTTCCATGGATGTCACTTCAGTCTAGACTCCCACCAGGAACATAGGTGGGAGACCATTTCTAGTCCAACAATCCCAATGACACTCAACTTGGCACCCGCAGTTCAGCGCCCACCAGCTGGACCAACAGTGGAGGAGAGTGGGCTTTTCCTCCTCCGATAGCTCATCACGCTGCCTCTCTAGTCTGTCCTGAGACGCCGGGTCCCTTCACTGTTGGTGGGCAAGGCGGCCACGTCTGGACATAGCGCCTCCATGGGATTCTCTCCCGGGGTGACTTTGGCACAAGTCCATGCTTCTGTCTGTCTGTTCTGCCGCAGTACACAGTACGTAGTATACGGACCACCATGTCCTACTCAAATTCTCAGCCTTTCTTCATCAGGATGAGAGAAATCTAAATATTTCCAAATGTCCACCACAGGGGAAGACACGCTGCCTGGCCCCTCTGGGGTAACTGGGTCACAGGCACTAAAACTCATTGCTATATGGTCAGAACCAGCTCACAGCTGACCCTCCAGTGGGTTTTCAGAGGCTGTAAATTGTACAGGATGATTGCACATCTTTGTCCTGTGAAGCAGCTGGTGGATTCAAACCACCTGTTTTGGGGTTGGGAGTGCAACTCTTTACCCGCTAGGCCACTAGAGCCCCCTTGTTTACACAGAGAGTATCCCACAAATACAGACAGGCTCGAGCAGGCCAAAGGAAGTAAGCTTTGAGCACCACCACGTGGCTATTTGAGGAATGACACACACTGGGTGCTTGTCCAGTCCTTTGAAACCCAGCCTGACAGGGTTTAGCTACAGGATTTCGCTAATTTATCTACAGGATTGACTTTTTTTTGTATTTATTTTTTTATTCATTCATTGTTACACATTTTTCTCCCTTCCTCCTCCCCCAGTCCACTCTGCAAAGCACCTCTTGTTCCAGAATGATGTTCTATAGGATTTTCTTTATTTTATAAATAATGCTTTGTGTGTTTAAGCTGAAAACGTGCACAGCAAATGAGTCTCCCAGTTAACAATTTCTGTACGTATTGCTGAGGGATACTGGTTACGTTTCCTGTTCCTCATTCTCGTCCACCACCTTCCGGCTGTACCTTTCCCGGGGCACTAGTTTTCCTGCCCCTTAGCTTCTCTTCTTTGCTTCCAAGCAATTTTTTACAGTTTGCCCTCGTGAAGATGGTTTTTAAAGGAGCTCACCAGCTACAAGGCGACCTTAGCAATGATTTGCTTTGAAGATTTAAAGGATGATAGTCTCAACCGGTCTGGTAAATCCTGACTCTCTAAGACCTTGAGTCCTCATGCACTTTTTTCCTCCAGTTCTATCAGGATCCATCTCTTTTTAAAATTTTTATTATTTTGTGTGTGTACCGTCAAATCGGATCTGACTGGCACAGGAGGAGATTCTTCCTCCTTCAGCAGAGCAGCTGGTGGATTCGAACCGTGTACCTCTGGGATTGCAGTGCAGCTTCTTGCCACTAGGCCACCAGAGCGCCCTCAGGATCCATCTCTTGTGTCCTGATCAGAGTGGTTGTGGCAGTAGCTGGACATCCCCTGGTTCATCTGGTCTCAAAGTCACTGATGTTGTGGTTACAGGTTGTTAGTCCTGTCAGCTTTCGTCCCCAAGTTTTTTACCTTTGGGGTTTCCTAGCCCGTAGTCTTTATGGAAGCACACCAAGTCTTTCTCCCATGACTCTGCTGGGTGGATTCAAACAGCCTACCTATTGGTTGGCAGCCACGTACCCAGTAATCAGTGCCACTGGGTCTCCTCTGGCAAGCAGTTTCTGTGTACAGAAGATACCCTGCTAGTCTTCAAGCCTCATTTTGATTTTGTTCTGTGTTGTGGGTTGTTTTGTTGTTGTTGTTTAATTCTCAATTTGGGGCCCATCTTCAGAGTATAGCAATATTAGAAAAAGCTACAAACAACAGAAACAGGAATGGCCTAGAAAAAAGTTCTGCTTCCAGTGACCGAGACTTCAGCACTAATTGTCTCCATAAATCACTGTCTTCTCCACCTGGAAACCAGGAGAACTACATGGTGCCCACCTGCTACCACCTCATGTTCTGACCAAGGACCCAGTTGATGGATACTGATAGGAAAAGAAAGAATTGTAGACCAGAACTCCAAATTCTTAAAGAATCCAGCCTTAATGGACATGGCATACTTAGGTGGGAAGTGTCCCTGAGTCTATGGCCCTGAGTTACTCTTCAAACTTTTGACTTAAACTATTACCTGAAGTCATCTCTCCATTTGGTACAGGGCTGCTCGAAAAATATAGTTCACACAACTGCTTTGTCTAGGTAGAGGTTTCACATGAGCACAATTAGGTGTGCTGGATTCTCATTTCTCCTCGATATTAGCTATAATTGGTTGTGATCTACACAGCCTTTGCATAGTCAATAGAACACATTTTTCTGGTATTTTCTGCTTTCAGCCAAGATCTCTTATCACCAGTGATATCCCTGGTGTCAGAGCTTCTTCTAAATATAGCTTACATTTCTGGCAGTTCTCTGTCAATGTACTATTCTAGCCTTTTTGATTGGTTTTTAAAGTAATATTCAGAAAGATTTTGTTTGCTTGTAAATAATATTGCATGATAATTTCCGCATTCTGTTATGTTAGATCATATTTTTATGTATTTATTTATTTGTTTGTTTTTTCTTTCTTTTCCCCTGCTTGTTTTGCGCCATAGAGTCAGATCCGACTGGCACGGGAGGAGATTGCCCCTCCTTCTTCAGCAGAGTAGATCATCATTTTGGGGAATAGAAACAAATATGAATATCTTCCAGTTATTTTTGACAAAGTAGAAATCTGGCTGTCTTCCAGATTTTTTGCATAACTTGTCCAGTAAACACATTCGGGGCTCTATCTGTTTGCTGGAACTTGTCAGTTGGTATTCTGTCAATTCCTAGGCCCTTATTTTTTGCCAATGCCTTCAATACAGGTTGGACTTCCTCCTTTGTTACCATTGGGTTCTTAATCATATGCTCCTTACTGACATATCAGTGTCAAGTCTTTTGGGTACAGCGACTGTGTATTCCCTTCATCTTCTTTTGATGATTCCTGAATCATTCAACATTTTCCCTGTAGCATCCTTCAGGATTTCAATTTGAGGCTTGAATCGCTTTCTCAGGTCTTTCAGTTTTCGAAATGCCTAACAAGTTCTTCTCTTTACATTTTCTAACTCCAGCTCTTTGTAGGTTTAATTATAAGTCTTTTCTCTGTCTTCTTGAGCCGCTCCTGTTCATTTCTTTTCCTTCACCATTTCTACTCTTTGTTTTGGCTTCTCAACATTCTAGGGTAATATTCAGAGTCTCTTCTGATGCCCAGTTTGGTATTTTATTTCTCTCCTGTTTTTGTAATAATCTTTTGCTTTCTTCCTGGATGAAAGCCCCACAACTCATTTGGCCTTTGATCAATAGTGTTCAGTTTCTCAAATATATTCTTGAGATGGTTTTTAAAATTCAAGTGAGATTGACTTAAAGTCCTGCTATTTATGGCATCTCCTCTGCTACCAGTCCTCCAGCAAGCTTGGGTGGAGGCTCCTGGCTCTGGTTCCAGGGGCAGAAGTCCGAGGGCAGTTCTGTCTCTTGCTGGTCATCGGTTTCCACTGAAGATGCTGCTGTTCTCGTGCAGGTCCCAATTGGACCGACACAGGAATCTCTGGCCCCAGAGGACACACACTGCATCGTCTGCTGCTGCTTTGCCGGTAGTGAGATTCCCAATTTCTGCTCCTGAACTTGCTCCACTTCAGCCAGACTGGTCAGACTCCTCATGGATAGACTGACACACCCTCTTCACACGTCCCCACCCAGCCATGCGACAAAGTCAAAGACAGTCACCTAGAAAAGCAATTTTGAACACTCAGCACCACGGGCGTGTTGTCAGAATGCACCAGTCTCTGCAGAAGAACGTCTTCCTTGGAAAAGTACAGGACCAGCAGAAAAGGGAAGACCCTCGATGACATGAACTGTAACACGGAGGCAGCAATGGGCTTCAGCACTACACAGGTTGTGAAGATGGTGCAGGGTCCGCACGGTGTCGTTCTGTTGTGTAAGAACTGGCTTGATGACACTTGACAAAAACCGGGGAGCTCTGATGGCCTAGTGGCAAGAAGCTGCACTGCAATCCCAGAGATACGTGGTTCAAATCCACCAGATGCTTTGCTGGAGAAGGAGGGGCCATTCCCTCCTGTACCAGTCAGATCCAATTTGACGGTACATGCACAGAGAAAAGAATAAATTTGAAAAAAAAAAGTTAAAAAAAACCCCAAAACAACAAACCAACGCCACAGAACACCGCATGGTTACCCACTGGGCTGATGCAGACAAGAACAACCCTAAAAGGCAGAGGAGAGCTAGTGCACGGCGCTTCCTAGGTGGGCAGAAGTCTGTGCCTGATGGATCTAACCAACGACCACAGCAGAACACCTGTCAGCTTAGACTAACGGGGCCGAGAAAGAACAGAAAAAACACTCTCAGCTGCTTGGAATTCTTCAGGCAGGGAACAGGCCACAGAAGGTATATCTATTGTCCTCCAAGGAAAGAAACTGCCCATCTCTGGAGCAGCTGTGAGGTCA